CCCACCCCCGGGTAGGCGAGGAAGCAGGGCTGTAAGCAGAAACACCGGGATAGGAACCCAAGTCTGACTCTAACCTGGGGCTCTGTCTAGAACCCGTTGCTTCTTTCTCAAGCTGTGTCCTCGAGGCTGACCCACTGCCCTGCCCCCCGGGGACACGTGGGTGACTGCAGATTCTCTGAAGCTGTGTAGCCTTAGCCTTTTCCTCAGACCGGGATGCTGGTGAACAGCTGTGTGGGAAGATCACCAGGATGCTTGTCGCCTCGGAAAACCTGTTCACAGGTCGCCCTGAGTGAAAACCTTCACGATGTTGTCACTGAGGTGCATTATATGTATGGTTCCTTGTTTCTAGAACCAGAAACAGGGAAGAGTCCCAGGGTTTTAAAGGATTTGACAAAATGGGAAAATTATACTTACATGTGGAAGGTTTGCTGTTAAAATGTGGGAGAATCCCGAGATGGTGTTTATCATTACAGCCATGCCTTTTTTCCTTCGAGACCCTGTGACAACGTTTAGGGTTCCTTTGTTTGTGGGTGACAGAAAGCCCTGACCAGACTGGCTTCGGTGACAAACAGAGTAGCATTGTTGGTGTCAAGGAGGGCTGGCATCATAGTAGACTTGGAGCTTGGTCTCTCCCTCCAATCTGTCCTCTACCATGTTGGCTTTATGTTCCATTTCTAGAAGATGGCGATGCAGCTCTCACCTGGGTGAGTTACTGACCCCTTTCCTGCCTGCCTAGCAAAGGTCACTGGCTCCGATTAGTCCCATACTCCCCCCAACCTCCCAGCCATGGCCCCGGGGGTTGCAATACACTGATTCTGACTCAGGTTTAAGTCCCATGGTCCACTCCTGGAGCTGGGGGTGTGGCCAGTGGTCAGGCCTCCTCACCCACGGGGACCATGGAGAGGGGCATTCACCAAGGATACAGATGCCCAAAGGAGGGAGGAGACGGAGGCTGGGCTGCCCCAAACCAACATGTGTCCTGAGGGAGTCACCGTTAGAAAGAGTTTACGAGAGGTCTGCCCAGATCAATTTGAAATAGGAATGTGTGAGCTGTGGTAAGCGACAAGTTCCAGAAAGTGTGTACCAAGGGAAAGAGTTTCTTGGTGTTAAAGATAAGTGGAGGTGGAGTCTAGTGGCGGTGTGGAGTGGGCTTGCAGAGGGAGTGAGTGGGGGAACTGGCACCTTGCCTCTTGCCTGGCACGAGGTGGTTCAAGGTGAGCCTCCAGGGAGGTTCGTGCTGGAGCGGCCCTTGGTCCTTGGTCCTGGGGAGATCGACCTCTCTGAGCCTCAGTTTCCTCGTCTGGAACACAGAGATAACAGCGCTGCCTTATAGGGTGATTTATATGTTTTGCATGTGATCTTACACGTAACTTGCTTAGCTGGCACCCGGGAGGAGCTCAACTCTTAGGGACCGCTATTGATCAGAAAAGATGCGTTAGAGCATCCACACTCAGAAGAGACAGCAGGACTCGGTGAGGTCACGTAGGCTTTGAACGAATCTGTTTTCCCCTTATCTCACGTCTTCCTCTCCGAGGCAGGGTGTCTCTGTTCTCTGACCCGGGACAGTGAGGCTTGGGAATCTAAGGGTCTGCGGGAAATGCTGGTCGACTATTCATGCATTTCCCAGCTTCTGACTCACACACAGCTAGTAAGGGAAGGGCTCACCTTTTAATTTGAAAAATACATGAGGTGAGGCCCCCTCCACCCATCCCACCCCACGCGACTCCAATCATACATGTGGTTTCTTTCTGGCACAGCCAGTCACCTTCTGCCATGGATGAAGCTGAGTCTCTTTCAACTTCTCACAAGTCCTGGTTTTCCCTTATTAACATGTCCAGTAGTGAAACAGCAGGAAGTACTTTTTTGTGAAAGGTATTGTGGCTCAGAAAGTTGATTATTTGAAATGTAATGTCTTCAGCTCATTGTGTCAAAACTGGCATTCAATGCATGTATGAGGGTTCTTGCTAACGGCCTTTTGGTTTAGGCAAGGCCCTGTAGAGAAGTGCAACCAAGAGTGTGTGTGTGTGTGTGTGTGTGTATGCACACATACAGGCTTGAAATCCAAGAAGAGCTAAGATTTCCATTTTAGTCTGAATGCAGGAAAAAAAAAAAAAAAAGAAAGAGGTCCCAGCTCAAAGGCAGTCCGGCAGGAGAAATTCTCTCACTTGTGGGATGTCAGCCTTTCTTGTCTATTCAGGCCTTCAAGTGATTGGGTGAGACCCACCTGAGTTGGGGAGGGCAATCTGCTTTACTCAGTCTACCCATTCCAGTGTTAATCTCAACCAGAAACACTCTCACAGACACATCCAGAAATAATGCTTGAGACAACGTCTGGGTAGCCTGTGGCTCAGTCAAGTCTACACATAAAATTAACCATCACTGAAACTTTGGTGTAATCTTCAGGTTTAAAATTACCTTCTCAGGTGACCTGCTTGGAATGGCTGTCATTAAAGCAAGTAGGCCATGGTGTTCTAGAGGTTGGGCTGTGTTCCAGCTTCTCCCGTGGTAAGTGTTCAAGGGTCTTATTTTAAGCTCAGCAGGTAAATTTTCTCATCACAAGACTCTATGAACAATCAGGAAGAAGGAAGGTGATTTTATGGTTGATGGGGATCCATTTCCATGAAGCAGGGCTGAAGTCAGAGCCTCCAGAACCTTCTCCCAGGGTCAGCAGTCAGTCCTGCTTCAGAGCCAAGACTAAGCAAGGTTTCAAGTTCCAAGTGCAGGACGAGGTTTATGAATCAGATTTTGCATTTTTCTAATAAGCCTCATGATATTTGAAAAACAGTTACAAACAATGGTGACTCTTCATCCAGAAACCATCTGGGCGCCAGTCTCTTTGGGCATCTACAGGAGCTTTCTCAAACCCTCGGGTCCACAGGACGAATCCTATTCCAGTGTTCCAGATGCTTGTCCAGATGTGTGTTGGGAATGGGCAGCCCTGGCACTGGGCACAGTTAACAGAAGGGCAAGTCTGGCTCCTTTGCAAAGCCAGGTGCTTCTTCTGAACAGCTGTGACCCGTCAGGTCAGAGATAGGAGACTTCTGAGAAAAGTGTGATGTGTGCGTCTGTGTAGATCCGGAGCTTAGATCTACTAGAGCCTAGTCTAGAGGGCTTGGGAGGTGGGTGGTTTTCCTTGTGGCTTTGTCTTGGGTTGCTTGTGGCATATGGAGCCGTTTCTGGGCTTAAATTTCCCCATCCAGTACTGGAGATTGAATTGGTCAGGGATTATGTCATCTGGGGCAGAACACTAAGATCTATTTTACTCCTTTGTGGGGAGGTGGAGAGAAAACAAGAATCTGTTGATTGTGAGAATCTGGACCAGCGGTATTTATAACGTAAGCATTTACGCTCCCTTTTACAAAGCCTGCTTCCAAAATACTGTTGTCCCGTGGCCACTGGGGAGGTGACCGGCTGTGCCCCTCTTACCTCTTAACCACCTGGCTTGGTGTTTGCACCGTGCTGCAACGTGTTTGAAATCCATGCAGTTTCACACCCACACCTCTGCGTGCGTGCCTGTGATGAAAGCAGGAAGGGCAAATTGCTTTGTAATGAGGCTAGGGGATTGTCAGGCTTTATAGCTGATTTCCCAAAGTCTCTACACAAAGAACCACAAGGAGCAGTGCTATAGGTTGTACAGGTTGCTTTAAGCCAAAGGTATAGATAAATATTTATATTTTCTATGTAAACAATCCTTTCACAAATCATGTCTTTGATAAATAACACGAGGTAAGAAAAGAGCAAGTTGCTGTTGCTAAGAAACTCTTGACGGTGAACTTCTGTTTTCATTGTTTTGCAAACTTCTTGAGGAGTTTCTGTGTGCTGGGGACAGAGAGACCGGGCATGTGTCTTTGATGTGGTCTCCAGCTGGGTACGGCTTACAGTCTGCAGGAAGCATGTTTAGAGAATATGATTCTTCAGTGCCCCATTTATGATTCTGGGGGGTTTGGCTGGTTTCTCATAGACAGTTTCAAATATTTTTTAAAAAGGAGGGACATCAGAGAATACAAGGCATTTGGGAAAAAGTTCAAAATAGTGCAGAAAGAAATGCTTAAAGCATCAGTAGTCATAATAACAATATTGTTCCCTGTGGCATCATAAACTTTCAGCTGTGTCCTGATCAATGTCTCGTGCTTCGTGCAGAGGGTCTGACACTGGAGATGGAAAGGCTTGCTCGGCACTTTCCCCGTGGTCCCCAGTGACCGTCTACCGTCCCAGAGGTAAAAGCATAGGGTTTTAACTCCCAATGCTCACAAATCCTTGTGATGGAAACAATACTCATTTGTACAAGTTCTTGTCATGTGAGAGAGGCTGTAGCACGTTTAACTCCTATTTGTTGATTATTTTCACAGACAGTCATTTTTGCCGAGAGCTTGCTGTGTGTAAGCTTGTTAAACGCCTCATCTCACTTAATCCTCCCTCGCCTCCGAGGGACAGATACTGTTCTCATCCCGTTTTATTTATGAGGAAACTGAGGCCTAGAGAGATTGACTGACTTGCCCATGATCACACAGGTAGAAAGTGGGCAAGCCTGCGTTCTAATCCACCTGGCTGGTCCATGGGGCAGGGCACACAGTGCCAGGCTGTGACGCCTGTGCTTGGAGCAGTGACCTGCCAACACGGCAGGGCTGGGATGAGGGTGAGGGGCCAGGGGATGAAGGGATGAGGGGCATCATGCCAGCCCAGGGGCAGGGCTGAGTTCCGTCCATGTTGAACATTTTGGTCTTTTGCTCATCGTGTATTTATTTTGCATTAATTTTGCCTTTTAAAATCTTGCATTTGGGCATTATAGATCTTGATCACTGGGTTTTACGGTGCTTTGGGCAGGTGTGGGTGAGGACCACGAGGGTTGCTGAGGTCAGGAACCCGCCCAAGGTCCCATGGCCAGAAATGGAGGAGCTGGGGTATTTGCCAGATCTCCTGGGGGCCGGGCTGGGGGCAGCAGCGTGGCTTACCCCAGTGGGCATCGCTGAGTTCTCAGGAATGTGCTTCCCCTCTTCCAGGTCGGGGAAGAGGTTGAAGAAGACCCGCAAGTATGACATCATCACCACTCCAGCCGAGCGAGTGGAAATGGCCCCGTTGAACGAAGAGGATGACGAAGACGAGGACTCCACAGTATTCGACATCAAATACAGGTACCGGGTGGGAACAGTGGCTTTCTCCTGGGCTCGCTGGCTTGGGGAGGTGGGGCGGTTCACCTCAGAAGACAGTGAGTGGCCAGGCGTGTATTCTTGTTCTTTGGCTAAGTCTTTGACCTTGGGGCATTCTGCTTCTAGGGGGGAACTGCTTTGATCTCTCCCAGGAACGCACAGCACCCAGAAAGCCAGCAGGGAAGTACTTGCAGGGAAATGCTTATTCTCAACTCTTTCCTGATGAGAACCCTTGAGAAGTCAGCTTTGTGGGAGCGAAAGGAGGGCTGAATTTCGGACAACGAGCTTGTCATGTACAGACTGTGGGGAATCTGGTCCAAGCAACCGCCATGTACCACGCGCCATGCACACAAATGGAAACTTGTTTTTCAGCCTTGCTTAGTTGGTAATGGAGAGCGTGGGGTGGGGGTTACTCCTTGGATGGAATTTACCGCTGAATTCCAAAGGCAGGTGTGTTTCTTTAACGTGGCCAGTAGGAAAGTCAGAATGACTTTTTGACTTCAGAATTGTAGTTTGGGCTTCGGCTTCTTTGGGGAAGTACTACTTTGGGTATGTGAGATTCTCAGTGTTAGAGCTGGGGGCAAGTGTATTTTAGGGATGAGGGCTTGGAGGCCCAGAGAGGGGCCATGGGTTGCCCAAGGTCGCAGTTATTAGTGGCAAAGTTGAGACGCAAATCCAGGCTGGACCCTATCCGGAGATTCCTCCCTCCCCACCAGGGTCCTTCAGAGAAACAGAATCAATAGGATATACACACACAGAAAGAGATTTATTATAAAGGTCCAAGTCTGAAGGCCTGAGAACCAGGAGAGCCGATGGTGTAAGTTCCAGTGGGAGTGCAGGAGAAGACCGATGTCTCAGCTCCAACACAGTCAGGCAGAGAGAGCGAATCCCCCCTTATTCTGCCTTTTGTGCTATTCAGGCCTCCAGTGGGTTGGATGAGGCCCACCCATGCTGGGGAGGGCGATCTGCTTTACTCGGTTTACCCAGACAATTGTTAATCTCAGCCAGAACACCCTCCCAGACACACCCAGACTAACGTCTTACCAAATATCTGGGCACCGTGTCACCCAGTCAGGCTGACCCGTAAGAGTCACATCACACACAGCTTTTCTGTACCTCCTGACTTGTCCTTTTCCAGCACAGCCTTGGGTATTCTTGGCTATAAAGGAGTTAGATTCAAGAAAGCAAGTGTTTGGGATTTCGATTAGAACTTCATTGACTCTGTAGGTTGATTTAAAGAGAATCAGCCCTTTATGCTAAGTGAAATAAGTCAGACAGAGAAAGACAAATACTGTATGATATCACTTATGTGTGGAATTAAAAAAATACAGCAAACTAGTGAATATAACAGAATAAAAAGAAGCAGACTCACAGATAGAACAAACTAGTGGTTACCAGTGAGGAGAGGGAAGCGGGGAAGGGGCAAGATAGGGGTAGGGGATTAAGAACTACAAACTATTAGGTATAAAGTAAGCTACAGGGGCTTCCCTGGTGGCGCAGTGGTTGAGAGTCCGCCTGCCGATGCAGGGGACAGGGGTTCGTGCCCCAGTCCGGGAAGATCCCACATGCCGCGGAGCGGCTGGGCCCGTGAGCCATGGCCGCTGAGCCTGCACGTCCGGAGCTTGTGCTCTGCAATGGGAGAGGCCACGGCAGTGAGAGGCCCGCGTACCACAAAACAATAAAATAATAATAAAAAGAAAAGCTACAGAGACATAGTGTACAACATGGGGAATATAGCCAGTATTTTATAATAACTATAAATGGACTATAACCTTTAAAAATTTTGAGTCACTATATTGTACACCTGTAACTTACATAACATTGTACATCAACCGTACTTCAATAAAGAAAAAAAAGAGAATCAGGCCCTTTATGTTGACTCTTCCCATTCATGAACATGGAATAACTTTCCATTGATTTAGGTATTGGAAAAGATGTCTTTCAAAAACTTCTCCATAAATGTGTTATAAATTTTTGCTAGATATATTCCCAGGTGTTTTACATTTTGATATATATATATATATTTTTTCTTTATTTAAAAAATTTTTTTGGGGGGGTAGGATGTATCTTTAAAAAATCTTTTTTAAAATTTTTATACAGCAGATTCTTATTAGTTATCTATTTTATACATATATATGTCAATCCCAATCTCCCAATTTTCTTTTTACTTTAAAATACTGTTTACTTTAAAGTACTATTTTATTTATACTCATGTCTGAAAAAAAATGTCTGTATTATCATGTTCACATATATACCAATATTGGAAACAGAGTTTGTTAACAAATCACACCTAAATTTTATGAAGAACGCACAACATTGACATGGATTGGTTATAGATAACGTGGAGGAACAAACCATTAGCTATAATTTGCAGTTTAGGTATAGAGCAGCCCCCTTTGAGAAGAATCAAAACAATTACTAACCTGCACCCATACTGCAAAATACTATGTACATAAGAAAGTGATTATACTGATTTTATTGCTAAGCCGTTTTATCGGTCTCATATTCAAGGCACAGAAACGAAACAAAATGTGAAGACCACGATGTCCTCATTATGAATCACAATGGAAAGGCTCAGCTGCATCCTGCAGGCCTGGGGTTATTGTACCATAGGGAGCCCTTGATGGCTTAAGTGGATCAACAGACTGTTTTGATTTTGAGCCGTGGGATGGGATCTCATCCATATTTGGTGTGTGAGCCGACTCCACGGGGGCTAGGATAGATGGAGCCATTTTTGTGGTAGCCTCAGACCCGACTACATAAGAAAAGACCCTAAGCAAAGAAATATCACTGTCTGTCCAGAAAATCTAACTGTTGACTCTTTCTTGAGTATAAGCTGGAAAAGGGGCCCCTCTAGAGAATCTGGATACAAATATTATTGTGGTCTAAAGACTGCTGGGTGGAGGTCGTGTCTGGTGTCACAAAGAGGAGGAAAGTATTGAAACCACTGTCAGATTAAGAACCTTCCACAACGAGTCTCAGTTCTTCAAATAATGGAGCAAGTTCCTTTCCTAGGAACAGTTAGTGCTGTATTGGCATTGCTCCTGGCTGTGAAACTCACCATCAAAGGCAAATGATTTCAAAATTAAAACATTTTTTTCAGTTTTATTGAGATATAATTGACATACAGCACTGTATAAGTTGAAGGTATATAGCATAATGACATACATATATTATGAAATGATCACCACAATAAGTTTAGTTGGCATCTAGCACCTCACATAGTTACAAAAACATTTTTTTTACCTTGTGATGAGACCTTATAGGATCTACCCTCTTAGCAGCTTTCAGGTCTATCATACAGCAGTGTTAACCTGTAGTCATCATGTTGTACATTACGTCCGCGGGAGGTATTCATCTCGTAACTGGAAGTTTGTACCTTTTGACCGCCTTCACCCAATTTCCCCCTCCGCAACCCCCTGCCTCTGATAACTGCAAATCTGATCTCTTTTTCTATGAGTTTGGTTTTTCTAGAGTCCACGTATAAGTGAGATCGTACAGTATTTGTGTCTATTGTAAATAATGCTGCTGTGAACGTTGTGGTGCAGGTATCTCTTCAACATAGTGATTTTGTTTCCAAAGGCAAATGATTACATGGAACTACCTGGTAGGTGTTAAGGTAGCAGGTGATACTTTTGCTGTTTGAGAGTCCGAGCTTGCTCCCTGGTCTGTGGCAATGCTCTGGAGGATTTTTGTTGGCCACTGTAATAATGGGCCCTCTATCTCTATGAGACACAGCGATAGCATGGGGCCCTTTCACACATGGTAGTTTTTAATACAGGAATCACTTAAGGTCCCCCAGGCACCTCCATGCCTCTCCTCCACCCCGATTCTGGGCAGAAACTCAGGACTCAGCAAGCCCATTCATATTAGTCTTTCATCCCAGATCATCCACGTTAATGACCCCTGTATCCCACAGGATCAGTCTCCACGCCCGGGTTTCTGCTTCTGGGGCTGCTGGCTTCTCTCTGCTGTCACTTTGGGGACAGCTTCAAAGACAGGCTCCTCTGCAAGCCGCTGCCACACGATTCATGACCTCAATCTGATCTCTTTTTTTAAAAAAAATCACTTTCTTACTTCTGTTCATGGTGTCTAGAAATGCAGTTGATTTTTAAAAAAATATTGATTAAAAAAATCCAGCAACCTCATTAAACTCTTATGAATCCTAGTAGTGTAAATGCAGATCTTTTGAGTTTTCTATGTAGATATATCACTTGAGACTAATAAGACTGCCTCCCTTACCCCCAGGTCCTTCAACATTTTATCTCTCTCTTTTTTTAAGCCTTTTTATACTCACTCTTGGCCTCTAAGTCATTGTTAAATAGAAGTGATGATAATAGGCATCCTGTCTTGTTTTTGATCTTAAAGGGTGTGCTTTCAATATTGACACTAAGAGCAGTGTTTGCTGTAGGGTTTTGTAGATTTTTTTTCCCCAGCAAGCTTCCCTCTATTCCTCTAGTTTGCTAATGTCAAATTTTATTAAATTCTTTTTCTAGCTCTGTTGAGAATATTATACTTTCTCCTTTAATCTGTTAAGGTGGTGAACTCATATTCATTGATTTGTTTTCTAATATTAAACCAACCTTGCATTCCTGAGATAAGGGAGCTCGGTCATGGTCATGTTATCTTTTTATTCACATTGCTACATTCAGTTTGATGATATTTTGCTCAGGACTTTCTTGTTTCTCTTAGTGACTGAGATTGGTTTGTCATTTTCCTATTTTGTAATATCCTTGTCAGGCTTTGGTAGAAGTTTTACTAGCTTCATAAAACAAGTTAGGTCGGTTCCTTATTATCCTTTTCTCTGGAATAGTTAGTATCAGATTAGAATTATTTGTTTCCTAAATGTTTAGTAGAATATGCTAAAACTGGCTGGACCTTGATGCTTTCTTTGTTTGAAGATTGGAAAAAACTATTGATGTCCAGGCGCCATCCTGCTTCCCTGTTTGTTGTGAAGGACGGACTTCAAGTGGTTCATGTGAGAA